TACTTAGTACGCTGCGCCCATTTCGCTGCTGTTAATTAATCCTTGTCTTTCGCAAATAGATATCAATTTCGGTCTATGCCTCAATGCGATATTTCCATATGGCAATTTTGTCCTGCCGAAACCGAATGTAAATCTTGGTTCGGTGCTGCCGAAACGACTTACTGCTATACCTAAACAAAAGCGTCAGCGTTGTCTGGCTGTAAAAAAATTATCATGCCCATACAATTTGTATGAAGCATACCGAAATAACGCAGCGCTAACGGAAGCGAACTAAACTTGTGTTTATTGTTGGTGTTATTTCTGCATTTGACGTAATGTTGACGCTTTTGTTTAGATATGGAACTTCGACGCTAACGTTAGGCGTCAGAAAACGCTCCGACCAACGCTTTTGTTAAGGTATGGTAGTTAGTCTAACTCATGCGGGCTTTGTTGTGATGTATATCTATCTATCTTTCGGTTTCGTATTTTGTGTTATCCTGATCCCCTCCATGTGTTTCTATGGACTCCTAACTGGTCCTAAATTCCACCCATCTCGTTTCTGCTTTCTATTAGACGAAATTTCCATTCCGCGGAGTAAAGATTTCTATTACCAACGTTTAGTGCCGTTTCTCAGCCGAGAGTTTACTCACATTAGGAAGTGAAAAATAGATTTTTAGTATAAACGAAAAACTGTTAGCGCACTGTTGAGAATGATGTAACCCTCTACTGAGTACAAATGCGCCTCTTTAAAACTATCAACCCTCATTTGGCAGTACCTGTTGAGTTTATCAGGGGATTTCCCGCATATCTTTGAAGAGCCGAATTGTTTAGTATACTCACATCAATATATTTTTGCAGCTCATGCGCGAATTGCAAACGTCCATTGCGTGCGCCACAATTCGAAACAAACCAGGCAACTTTTCTTGTTTTATTCAAAGCATAGTTATGATCCTGCTCGGCTTGATGGATTTTCGAATCGTAGTAAACCCATTTTTCATAGGGCGCTACAATGTCGCTGTCACGCCTGCGAAAAATTTCAAGTATTAAGAAATTACATCAGGAAATAACTGTTAGAAAGTACATCAACTCTACCTGTAGGTGGCCGTCCAATTTATAGCATCTGGTACTTTAACGTTTTGTGTATGATACGGACATTCCAGATAGTACAACATGCTAACTTGCCTCGGATTCAATGGTCTGCCTAGGCCTGTCGGTATGAAATGATCCTTATACAATATCATATCGGCCTTGTCAGCATAACCGCGATTCGATGTCAGTTCGCAAGTGTCCACAGGGCATTTCGAGCGAAGGAAGACATCACGCCCTAAGGTAATGTATAAGGAATAAACTTACAACAACTGAGCGCAGTAAAAATTAAGCCCCCATTATGCGCACCTTGCTTCACATTCCATGGACCCAATCCATTGTAGAGCAGTATAACTTTCAGTCGGCCGCTAGCGCGCACTTTCTCATAGTTCGGCGGCACATACATCAACTGATTGACGATGCGATCACTGTGCGGATCTTGGTAGGGAAAGAGGCGTGCGCCACGCGGATTATGCTTCTTGCCATGTCCCGTTCCGCCTGCGCCACCTCCGCCGCGTTTGCCATGCGCCTCACGCGTAGGCCCAGTTCGCGCCGGCTTTGGATAGTACTCACCTTGACGGAAGAACCAAGGCCGTGTTGAGGTGGGTTCCAGTGGCACCTGCCCTGGATGTAATTGCAGCTGTTGCTGCTCGCTTTGCTCGCCGCTATTTATGCTTTCGCCCCCGCCCAGCGTATTACTGGTGCTGATTATATTTGCATGTCTGCGCGCAGCTGCGCTATCGTCGTTATCGGTGTCCTCGCCGCCACCGCCATCGCCAATACCCTCTGCCCGTCGCCCTGCTGCGCGCTTACCCGGCTCCAAACTATTGGAGGATGAATGCGTGTAGTATTGTAACGGTTGTTTTGCTTGCTCCTCCGGCGAGCGTGCTTGTGTTTGCTGCGGCGCGCTTTTCGATTTCCAGATTTCATGTTCTCTGCAAAGCGTCGGGAAGTGGATTGTATAATCGTTGACGTGGGCAGATAAGCGCAAAATCCAACTTACCGTAAATTAAAGCCGAATATTAACAACAGTGCACAAATGAGCGTAAAATAAAAATATTTCTTTAATGAAAATTTCGGGCGACGCATAGTTTTCTAATCGCAGTGTTCTGGGATTCTCCTCTAACTCGTTGTAGAACCGTTATGGAAGGCACTTCTTAACCGCCGCCTTTCCGCGTCAACGACATTTACAAAATGGTTTTCATTTCACTGCAAGAACATAAAAGACAGAAAACACAAAATTAATTAACAAAAAAGCTTGTACTCCACCGAGGTATTGAACTGTGGTAGCTAATCTTTGAGTGTAAAAAAGTATGGTATGACAGTTTCCAATTTGTTCCACAATTGAGTGTTATTTTTTTGTTTTAACAAGTGTTTTTGAGTTTAGTGTTTTTCGTTTTGCATCATTAACACAATTCTAGCAGGTTATATGTATGTTTGCATT